GTCTCTACTCTTTGAATATTACATACAGATTTTAGTGAATGATGTTAATGATCTAACTTGTATTTATCAGATGACTATTTTTTTATGTAGATGGATATTCACAGGATTGGATGGTAACCATTTTATTATATGTACTAACTTTTACAGTTGGATGATGGATGACTTCTTGTTTTATTGGCTGAAAGACATGTAGCACAGCATTAGATAGTGAACTTTGTTTTATATAGAAAAAGTCTTGACAATTTTATGGTGACCTCTTGTTTTGTTGGCCAAAAGACATGTAGCACAATATTGGATATTTTATTTTGTATATACTGGTTTTCATAGTATTGGATAGTGAACTGTGTTTTATATAGAAAGTATTTGACAGTACTGGATAGTGAAATGTGTTGCACATAAACAGCTTTTCACTGTATTAAAAAACAACCTTTGTTTGTATATAGACAGGTTTTTACAATATTGGATAGTGGTGAACTTTGTTTTATATTGAAAGCATATCACAGTATTAGATGGTCAATTTTTTTGTATATAGATGGGTTTGTCCTAAAGGTAGATGGTGAAATTTGATGTGGACAGAATTTCATATGTTTTATGGTTGCTTTTAGTTGACATAGTTAAGATTTCACAAAACTAGTTGGTGATCTTTGTTTTATATAGAAAGCATCTCATGGTGTTTGTTTGCTATAGACAGGATTTCAAAAGTTTGTATAGTGATCTTTATTTTACATAGAAAGTTTCACAGTGTTGATGACATTTGTTTGGTAGGGATAGTTTTCTATGATGTTGACCTTTATTTTATATAGGAAGGGTTTCACAATGCTGGTAATGTTTGTTTAATTTGGAAGGAGATTTTTGTTTTATACAGATAGAATTTTAGAAACATGGATGTGACTTTTTTTAAATAGACGGAATTTTGTAAGGTTGATAGTGGTAGGTTGAGTTAGGTAGTTAGTAGTATGTGTTAATTGATTAAGCAATGGGCTCATTAAATGATTTTTTTCAATTAACATGCACTTCCACCCAACCTCACCACTTCAAACAAGCCAATAAAATGGTGTATTAGTTTCATAACTTTTTCAACCAATGCATTATTCTAACATTGTATTACACTTCTATTTTCACTAACTTTGTTTTGTTTTAAAATTACCCATATGATATGATAGTTGCTACTTGCACATTTTGCAAAGAATGTATTTTTTGTCAAAAAAATATTTTTTCACATATTGTATTTTAAAGATAATCTGAACACTTCCAACGTGGTGAATAAATGGCTTATATCAACTAAATACTAACATAAAGTCACCATTATGTTGTTTTTTAATTTGCAGTACTTCCCTATTGATCTTATGTAAATCAAGTAAATTGATAATTAAATAATGAAAACATGTTTGGCTATCACCAATAAGGGTAATAAATATTTTATTTAAAAAATATCATGACTGCAATTAGAAATAAGGTAGGCAGTTAGTCTATGTATTTATGTATAAATAAGATAAATAATATTCAATAATGATTTGGGTCATCAGAATATTTTGCACTCACCATACTTACTAAACAGTGAACTTGTTTTATTTGATAAACATAATAAGACTCATGTTTATAAACATTTCAACTCAGACCATAGTATATCTACTGAAAAAGAAAAACATATAATTTTAAACAAAAACAAACAAACATCAAGATACCTTTATTAATCCCTAAGCAATCATGCAACTTGTACCTGAAAATGGAAAAACCTTCATACATTACACAAAAACCTAATTCACTATAGCACATAGAAGGGTTGAAATTCAGTGTGTGTGTGTGTGTGTTACTTTTTGGATATTTAACTAAATATTTTAGATATTTCTAAGGTTCTTGGTTAAAACATTGTGATTGAAATAATATAAAGCTCATGTGTGCTCTTTTTTTTTTAATGTTCCTAGTTAAACTTTGATAGAACTATACTTTGCAATCAGGTTGAATTCTACTGAGCCAATATTTGTTGACTATTGGGATATGTTCTCTCTGCCATTTACATTTGCTTTTTATTGAGAAATTAGTGTAATACTGTAAATTAGTCAGTTTAAGATTTATTTTAATGCACTTTTATTCTTAAAATTTGATATGAATAAGTTCTATGTTTAATTAAAAGAAACAGAACAATACTGAGTTTGCTCCTTGCTGAATCAGTTGCACTGGCTTGCTTTGTACAAAATATGCTGAGCTATTTTAAAATTTGTGCTTCACTGACAAAATGTGTTCTATAATCATTACAGCCTATACATTCTGTAGTTCTTGACTTATTTAGTTATTAATAAAAACGATGCCCTTCCATTGCCCTTTCAAACTCTAGGCTGGGATTATAACACCACCACCACTCTGGTTATAGAGTGAAGATTTTTAATTCTTTATTTCATTCAGGATCCAAGTCACCAAGTTTGTCCAGTTACACACCAAGATCACAATTCACAGACTATGCCATGTGAGTCTTAGTTTTTTGTAAACTCATTGATTAGATCAGTGTACTTGATTCCAAAGATGATTTAATTTTCAGTTGAAGTCATGCTGAGACAAACAGGTTATTAATAGTGCTGTAAAACTTGGAAATACAACAGATGGTGTGTGGCCATTTAACAGTGGTGTATATATTAAAAAGGTACAACAACTGATAAGTGCTCACTTAATGGTGCTGGGAAAATCAAAACCAAATACAACAGCTGGTGTGTGGCTACTTAACAGTGCTATAAACATTTAAAAAATACAACAAGTGGGAGTGTCCACATTAAAAAATAAAGCTACTTAATGATAATGTAATTACAACAGCCAGTGAGGATACACATGACAATGCTGTAAACATAAAATACAACAACTCGTGTGTGGCTACTTAACAGTGCTGTAAACATAAAATACAATAGCTGGTGAGTGGCCACTTAACAATGTCGTAAACATTAAAAAAAAGTACAAAAGCTGGTGAATGGCCATTTAACAGTGCTGCAAACATTAAAAAGTACAAAAGCTGGTGAATGGCCATTTAACAGTGCTGCAAACATTAAAAAAGTACAAAAGCTGGTGAATGGCCGTTTGACAGTGCTACAAACATTAAAAAAGTACAAAAGCTGGTGAATGGCCGTTTGACAGTGCTGCAAACATTAAAAAAGTACAAAAGCTGGTGAATGGTCATTTAGCAGTGCTGTAAACATTAAGAATACAGCAGCTAGTGAGTATTTAATTAACGGTGCTATAAAAATGTAACATAGTTGGTGAGTTCTCACATTAAAATGTTTATGTAAACACTTGCTTCTATCAATTGTTTGATTGGCTTTGTGTGTGTGGATTTTTAAAGCATGTGATTTCTAAGATTTTTAACAAAATCAAATTACTTATAGAACAACCATGTTTGCTATCTATATTTAACACATAACAAGTCTCTTTCACCTTTTTGTTAGAAGTGACCTTTTAACCCTCAGGATAATTCATTACTAATGTAACAGATGTAATATTTTCAAAATGAGACCCAAAACTCGAGCAGTTTCGAAATCGAAGTTTTGGGTCAAGTTTTGGGTCTCATTTTGAAAATATTATAACTTTTGTTGGTGATTCTGTGTGCTAACTACTTAACCTGAATGTAACAGATGTGTTAGATATCTGTATGTAACATGTAGCAAGTATTTTCATTTTTAGATAATTTGTAACATGATGAGCATACTTATAGGAACATTTACTCTGCTATCCTTTTCTATAGTATAGGTTTTACTCTATTTAGAAATATACATGAAGTGCTGTTTTATTGTTGAGCATATACAATTTGTTCACATATTTAGGGATTAGAAGTGACAGTCCGGGGGAAGCATGAGGGAGGTGATGCTCTATGGGAAGAATCTAGACTTGGAAATTATGCAGATAGGTAACCATTATTATTCAAGTGGATAATAATTAGGTTAAAATGTAATATTCAGTTTAGGAAATTGTTTCTCAAAATAAAACTACTGGGAGTTGACACTTACAATGTATGCTACACCTGATAGAATGGATATTGTATACAATATGTATATTTAAAGTATTTCTTTTTGATGTTGTTATATATTTTATATATGATATGCAAAGCATTTTACATATAAGAATAATTATTTATAAGAATTTTGTTAATTCAATAAAATTATAACACTTGATTCATGAATTAAACTGCAAATCTATTGCAAATGGAGGTTTTCTAAGTTTAAAGTAATATTTTGATAATAATAATAT